AAAAAGCAGCAGAAAATGGTGTTAAAGAAGCAATGTTTAATCTATCCATATATTATGAAAATGGAAAAGGAACAGAAAAGAATTTAGAAAAAGCATTTTGCTGGTACCAAAAAGCAGCAGAAAATGGTGTTAATGAAGCAATGTTTAATCTAGCTGTATGTTATAAAAATGGAAAAGGAACAGAAAAGAATTTAAAAAAAGCAGTTTATTGGTATCAACAAGCAGCAGAAAATGATGATAAAGAAGCAATGAATATTTTAGCCATATGTTATAAAATTGGGGAAGGAACAGAAAAGAGTTTTAAAAAATCTCTTCATTGGTATCAAAAAGCAGCAGAAAATGGTCACATTAAAGCAATGTTTAATCTAGCTGTGTGTTATAAAAATGGAAAAGGAACAGAAAAGAATTTAGAAAAAGCAGTTTATTGGTACCAAAAAGCAGCAGAAAATGATGATAAAGAAGCAATGTTTAATTTATCCATATGTTATGAAAATGGAAAAGGAACAGAAAAGAATCTAGAAAAAGCATTTTGCTGGTATAAAAAATCAGCAGAAAATGGTGTTAAAGAAGCAATATTTAATCTAGCCATATGTTATGAAAATGGAAAAGGAACAGAAAAGAATTTAGAAAAAGCATTTTACTGGTACCAAAAAGCAGCAGAAGATGGTGTTAAAGAAGCAATGAATAGTTTAGCTATATGTTATGAAATTGGGGAAGGAACAGAAAAGAATTTAGAAAAAGCTTTTCATTGGTATAAAAAGGCAGCAGAAGATGGTGTTAAAGAAGCAATGAATAGTTTAGCTATATATTATGAAATTGGGGAAGGAATAGAAAAGAATTTTAAAAAAGCCTTTCATTGGTATAAAAAGGCAGCAGAAAATGGTCATATTAAAGCAATGAATAGTTTAGCTATATATTATGAAAATGGAGAAGGAACAGAAAAGAATTTAAAAAAAGCCATTCGTTGGTATAAAAAAGCAGCAGAAAATGGTATTGAAGAAGCAATGTTTAATCTAGCCATATGTTATGAAATTGGAGAAGGAACAGAAAAGAATCTAGGAAAAGCCCTTTATTGGTACCAAAAAGCAGCAGAAAATGGTGATAAAGAAGCAATGAATAGTTTAGGCATATGTTATAAAAATAGAGAAGAGACAGAAAAGAATTTAGAAAAAGCATTTTACTGGTATCAAAAAGCAGCAGAAAATGGTGTTAAAGAAGCAATGTTTAATCTAGCTATATGTTATGGAAATGGAAAAGGAGTAGAAAAGAATTTAGGAGAAGCATTTTGCTGGTATCAAAAAGCAGCAGAAAATGGTGTAAAAGAAGCAATGTTTAATCTAGCTATATGTTATTAAAATGGAAAAGGAACAGAAAAGAATTTAGAAAAAGCCCTTTATTGGTATAAAAATGCAGCAGAAAATGTTCATCTTAAAGCAATGAATAGTTTAGCTATATGTTATGGAAATGGAAAAGGAACAGAAAAGAATTTAGAAAAAGCCTTT